GCAAACTAATTAAACATATGGAAGATAGTAATTTCAGTGTCTCAAATGAACAGCATAAAAAAATGATAGAAGTTCAAATCTGGGTGAACTACAACAGCCAAAGATACCTGCATGAGAGGAAGAACAGGCCTTGAAACTGGGCTTCAAAAGAAAACCCAGTAAGTTGGAACATTTTTGAAAATACATTCCAGAATGTTTTGTAAAAGTTTCAAGATAGTAATTAACTTAGAATAACTATGGCATACTCATTTGTCCAAATGAAATTCTGCAACCTGGTCAGAGTCTGGCCTAAGCAATTCATTAGTTCTTTGGACACAGAGATTATAGCCCTCACAAATGTACTTTCCTGCCAACTCTTTTATCATATCCTCTATTATTTCTTAGGTATAAATTTCAGTTTTATCTTCAAAAATACTTAAAGGTGCCAATAAAGAAAGTGTGCTTGAAACAAAAGTAATAAAGAACTTCAAATTTTTTGGAGAAAAAGTTAGTGTTTAATTAGCAGTAAGGATCTCTGGTTCATCTGGGTTTTCATTTTCAAACAATTGCACATAGTATCTCCTATAGAGAAAGTGATTGTGCTGTGTTGCCTTCTTTCAACTTTAGTGGTTCTCACTTACAAAAAAGTCAGTGAAAGTCTTCTCTAGATTCTCAATATGAGCTGTAGGTGCACTGTTTCCCAGAGGCTGATGAAGGAGAAGAGGTCAATACACTAGCAATTGAAAATGTAACATAGGGAAAAAGGAAATGAAGATGGAAGAGAAAATGCAGAGACAAGAGAGAGAAGAAAATAATAGGTAAAATGTTGTGGTTGAAGTTTAGAGAATCTCCTTTCCTTTTGTAACAAAAACTGTAAATCTTGAAATAAAGATGAAATCCCAAAAAGTAACAAAAGAAAATAAAATGTGTTCTGTTGACCCATGACATCATCATTTCTAATTTTCCTTCCTTCCTTTTTGGCCCTTCTGTGTTCATAGAAGAATACTACAATACAGAAAGGGTGGCTTTTCATTAGTTGCAGTGAACACCAAAGAAAGGTGTATTTGTTTGGCCAACCAAAGAATGAATAATTTTCTCAGTTTAACTAAGGTAAACTCAGGAATACTGTGGCCACTCGCTCAACTTTTTGGTAAATGTTAAGAAATTTAGTGAAAACCACTGGACAGCATCTCATCAGTGAAATGCTTAAAAGGTAATTTTATTTAAAAGTTATGTAGCAGTAATGCATACCTGTTTGTAGTCATTAGTTCGTTCTAAGCGGAGTGGTGAAAAGAGTAGAAGTCCTGTGATTTAAATATTATCCTTCTACTTACTGTTCATGACAGTCAGTTATCCCAGGGCCAGCCTTTTGGTTTATGATAGATCTTCCTTTGTGGCACAATTAATCATGGTCATGGGTACCTTTTTTTGGACCCCTTGGTTCTGTGTGTCCCTAAGGTTACAGGAACAGTTACTGAAACTTTTTGGCAAATTTCACATACTGAACTTCGTATTTCTGATCAGCATCCAGAACATAAGCTCCTCCATCTGTTTTATACTCTGGCCACCAGAATAGGTTTCTTTTTTCTCTATGCTTAATTCTCTATACTTCTCTCTATTCTTAATCTATTATTAGCTTTTATTCATCAGTTGTGATTCTATATGAAGCCAAAATATAACCTTACTTTGAAACTGATTTAAACAATGGAGGGTATTTATTGACTCACAACTGGAAGGTCTGGCTCTGGACTACAGAATTAGTTGATCTAAAGGTTCAGTGATGTCATTAAATATTTAGTTTCCTTCCTTTCTTCTACCATTCACAGTGTTTATTTCATTATAAATCAGATTCCACTTTCTCATAGATGGCTGCCAGCTGCTATCAAGGACACAAATTAGTTGTAGTGAGTAGAAATCAGACTTCTTTCTCTTCGTGTGTTCCAAGCAAGGATTCCAGAGTTGGAGGCAGCCACCTTCAGAGAATGTGGACTGTGGGGGTGTGGGAGTGCATGTGCACTGGGAGAAAAATGATTTCATATATGTAATTGATAAGAAAAAAGATGGGTAACTAGACAGCCAATACTTATCTAACCATTTGTTGTTCTAGACCTGTTAGAATTTCAGAAGCCATTTCCTGTGATAAAGAAAACCTTTTATTATTCTGCTTCATAATCTTCTTTCTGCTGTTGACTTTTACTAATATCCACTCTCCTCTGAAGAAAATCTTCCCTCTACTTTCTTTCTTCCACACCTGATACCACAAAGTAAGAAGGAAACATCGCGTCTTGGTTCCCCTACCTCCACCCCGACCTGCAGTAATATTCCTAGATCAACACTTCCACCACTGATAAAAGCATCTTTTGTCAGGGATTAGGGGTAGGGTTTACACAAGCCCTGAGTTCAGTCCTCAGCGCCACAAGGACAAAGCATCTTTGACTCTGTAGCTGTGATTTTCCCATTCTATACCCTATGCATATTGTCCTCTCAACCTCCTGGTTGGTCCCTTCATTCTTCAAGATTTTGGCTTTTGATCCAGTCTTCCTTCAACTCCCAGACAGACCACCAACCTGCAGACCTAGTGTGCATGTAGACCCTCTTTATCCAAGCTAGACTCAGTTTGCACTCTTCACCTTGTTTTTACCGGCCATCTACTTTCAGGAAAATTCCCTGCGTCTTTTCATACTGCTTAAACTTTGAGTTCTTAAGTTCAAACATCTCACATTTTTACTGTTACTTAGCCCATTGTACTGTGTTATTTTACTGTGTCTTCAATTTCTCTTTCTATCTAAAACAAATTGCTCTGCCCATGTGTTATATTCCATTTCTTTTTGCTTCCATAGGAAATTTGCTCACTCTGTATCTTCTTTTGAAATTTTTGTTTTAAGTAGAATTGTAAAAGATTCCTTATGTATTCAAACTTAAAACTACAGTATGTATTCCTAAATCTTTTCTAAGACTAAGACCTTCTTCATGACCTCCTTGCATGAACTGCACCTAATATGCATCTTCTTGATTTTGTTTCTTTAACCTGAAACATGACTTTAAAGACACATGTAAGTAATCTAAATTCAGAAGCCTTCTGCATCTTTATGACTCTTTTTCCAATCTTGTTTTACACTGGAAAAATTTTTTGTTGTTTTAATTTTGAGTAACTGTCTTTTTGAAAGTATTTTTAAGAGTATTTTAGTACCTTTAGAGTTCATTCAGTTTACAGATACCTTGAGGAGTGGTTACATGCACATACCATCACTTGTTTCTTTTTGTCAGTTCCCTTCCCCTCTCTCTCCCTCCCCCCTCCTTCAATTCCCCTGTTCCATTTTTCATTCTTATTGATGTTATTAATCTTGTCTCATGCTATGACGTATGTTTACATTAACTGAGATTATTAGGTTCTTGTACGTAGCATACCTCTATTGTATTTAGTCCCTTGCCCCTTGCAGTTGTTCCCTGGGCCCACTTCCCTACTGTGAGAGATCCATCCTTTGTCCCCTTCTGTCTATCCTTTATTATTCTCTTTGTACTTTGCCTCAGTCAAATGAGATATACCATATGACATTTAAACTTATGTGTCTTAATATAGTGAATTTTCCTTCACATGTGGCATATCCAAAATTCATTGTGTCGTTTTCCCCCAAAACCCTTCTCTTTCTTCTGTAGCCCCAATAGCACTAATTGGTACCAACATCCTTCCAACTAGCTCCAAGATAGAAACCTGGACATTATGCTTAACTTTCTCATTCTCACCTCTGCCCCCTTATATCCATTCAGTACGGAGTCATATTGACTGTACCATCTGAGTATCTTTTAAATCACTCCAGTTTCCCTATTTCCTACCATGATAATCCATTATCAATACTGTAATAGCAGCTTCTCTCTAAAATGATCCTCTTTCACAAACCTTTCTATGATTTCTCTAAAATGCAAACTTATCACATCTCTGTCCTACTAAAACCTTTCACAAAACCCTGTCCACAGCACTTATCTTCAGTGCCTGTCACAGTAACTACATATATTATGTGTGCATAAATGTTTATTGGGAAAATTTCTTCCTTAAACAAGTTATTTAGCCTTTTGCACATAATGAGTTAAAAGAGAATAATGCCCTGCCTACTTTATAAGGTTGTTTCTGGACCCTGTAAGATGAGAAAAATAAAGTTTAGCATAGTAATTAAGAGTGAGTTCTAGATCTGTATTGCCTGGTTTTTAATCTTAGCGTCTCCTATGTAATGTGACCTTGAGCAAGTTAGTTCTCTATGTCTTATTTTTCTCTTTAGTAAAATGATAATGTCTACAGTATGTAACTCAGTTGTTGAAGGACTGAATGAGTTTCTACATGGAAAGCGTTTTGAATAGTGCCTGAGAACACTATGTATATGTTAGCTAATAAATATGATATTTTTATTTATAAGCTCAAAAATGGGTGGGGTACAGAGAGAAGGGAGAATAAAGGAGAAAGAGACATGCACACATATACAAAGCATCAGTATTATTTGAATGTGTTAAAGGAGTGAAGAACTAACATTACTTCTAAGAATGTGTTTCTTGTTTTTCTTTTATGATATTGTAATTTCTATGCCAGAGACTATTTTCCACAAATAAATTCAAATAATAATTCTTGATTTGCATGAAAATTTGAGGGAAAAGTGTTCAGTATAAAAACAAATTTTAAATGTTTCCTTGCCAAGCCTGCAAACATTTTTTAAATCTGTGTACATAGTAGGTAGAAGTTAACAGAGAGAAGATTTCTAGTTTAATTTATACAGAACAATTATTACATCACTGACACCTAGCTTCATTTTTCTGTATAATTTCATGACATAAATTCAGTATTTGGATTGTATGAATTCCATAAAACTATAATTATTCAAAAATAGAAAGCTCGAGGGCATTTAGTTTTATGCATATGTATTCACATGAGAGAATTTGCTCAATTTAAATTGAATTTTATAATATACATTTGTATCTTGACTTTGGACATACAAAAGTTCCTAATTTCTATTCTTCTTTCTGATTCTTCTTAGAGTTGGTGGTTCCGGGGTTTTACTAAGAATGACATTAGGAAGAGAAGTAGCATCCTCCCTTCGGGCAGTATCTTCTTCTACTACAAATGGGAAAAATGTTCTAAGGTGGGATCTTTCACCAGAGCAAATTAGAACAAGAACCGAGGAATTAATCATGCAGACCAAACAGGTGTATGATGCTGTTGGAATGCTCAAGATGGAGGAAGTCACCTACGAGAACTGTTTACAGGTGCTGGCAGACGTGGAAGTGACATATATAGGTGGGTAGGTTGCACAGGTGCATCAGTATTCCATTCTCTACCATCTAAAGCCATTTCATGCTTTGTTTCCTGGCAATCAGACTTCCAGTTTTATAAGAGATTACTTTTTATATTATGGTTGTTTAGTTGCTTAGAATAAAATCGCCTATGGTTTATAAATTTTACTATGTTGATAAAGATGCTGTAAGATGACAACTATCATTACACTGTTTACTGAACAGCATTTAATAATACATTTTAAACTTTCAGTTCACACCATAACCCATTAATTCCATTATCCTGAAATATTCTAAGGAAAAATAAGATCCAGGCAAAATTATATAAATTTATGTAAAAGTATGCACTTTTCTCATAGAAGGGCTCAGAAACAACCCCCATATCTCACCAAATAGAATTGTGGATATACGACTACAATTTGGTGACTAATTAGTAAACTGTCCATCCTCTGTAACACTCTGTAGCCATGAAAATCATAGAAGTAGTATTAAATGACATAGAAGAAAAGGATGCAGAGGAAAACCTGGAAGAAAATCAGGTTTCACAGAGTTAACAAGATTTTGCAGAGAAGCAGAACCAATAGAGTACATGCAGGGAGATTTATTAAAGGAACTGGCTCACATGATAATGGAAGATGACAAGTCTAAACTCTGCATATGGACCAGCAGCCCGAGACTCAGAGTGCCAGCTGTGCAGATGAGGCCTGAAGGTGGTCTGTGGCAGAGTTCTTCCTTGCTTGGGCAGGCAGAACTTGTTTCAGATAGGCCCTCAACTCCAGGGATGAAGCTACTCATGTTACACAGAATAATCAGCTTACTCTCAGTTCACAAATGTAAATGTTAGACTCTTCAAAAAACACTGTCAGGAATTACATAAAATTAACTATCACAACAGTTAATATTCTGAGTGAGGCTTTACAGTTTGTTTTGACTTTCTTCTTTATGTGTTTTTTGTTTTCCATATTTCCTACATCAAACATACACAGTATTGTTTTTATAATGTATCAGACCTTTTGAATTAGAAGGAGTGAAGATTCATTTTGGTTATCTCTTAGAATTGGACATATTTCATAGGATGACTAATTAAACAACCTGGGCTGTATATCTAAATTTCATGAGAATATGAAGTAAGTAAAAAACTGGATCATAAATATTTCTCTGCATCCTGAAATTTGAAAGGCTGTCAGAATCCAGCACAGCCAGAGCAACCTGTTTATCTCTCCATCACCAAGAGCTCCCTACCCTATGTTCCACAGTAATAAGGAACTTAGGTGGATATTTTAATCTCGCGTTTCTTTCCATATCTATCCTAGTACCAATTAGTTCACTTTCATTAATGACCACTACATCTGCTTACAAGGATCTGGTAGAATTCTTAAGAGTCCAAGGGATGAAACTTCAGCAGTTTTTACAACAGGCACCTTCCTATATATGTCCTGCCCTGTTGTGGGTCTGTCTCCGGTTCAGGTGCTTACATCTTTAGTGACTTAAGGCTTTAGCTTTTCTATTCACATATTTGACTGGTCTAAAAATCCATTGGGGTTTAAAAACAAAGTCCTTTAAAATAATTATCTTTAATTCTATTTTTTTATAATCTTTTAAGCATATCTCAAAATTTGTGGTGTTTATTTTTGTTCTTCCATAAATTTATCTTTTGGTTAATCATTAAGGTTTTTGAGTTTTGGGACTGATTGTTTTAAATTCACTTTCTCTTATCTGTATATGTTCTGAGAGTTCATTCTACCTCTTACAGTAAATGTTAAAGCTTCTTTTGTCTAATGCCAGCTACAAAGCATCAGCATTGTTTATAGTTTGGCAAGGAGTGTGTAAATCTGGCTCCAACTTTGAGGCAAAATATAGAAGAAAATGGTTTTCAGTGTGATTGTTTATTTAAGAATCTGCTTCCAGTTTTAAGGCTTCTGAATTTTGTGCTCCTAATTCAAGTTCCTGAGAAGTTTTGATTCCTTCTTAATAACACTAAGCTATTTTTTAAAAGTAAAGAGAAACTACAACCTAAAGTTAACTGAATCACTTAAGTACTGTATGGGTTAAAGTTTAAACCTTCTGTTCCACTTTTTCCTTTACCATTAGACATAACATTATAAACTAAATTAAGTCCTACCAAACATGGTGTTGCATGCCTGTAATCCCAGCTCTCAGGAAGCTGAGACAGGAGGGTCACTGAAACTTTGAGGCCAGCCTGGGCAACATAATGAGTTCAAGACAAACCGGAATTACATAGGAAGTCCTGTCTCAAAAACCAAAAACTATATATAAATTAAATCCTAAAATACACTTGTCTAAGTTGCATTTTGTAGTACACATTATGGACTTATTTTGATATTTCTGGCAGGTATTTTTAAAACAGTTTTATTTGTAACAATCTTTTAAGAGGACTGATAAGTGAGGCAGCTTATCAAACTATTATTTCTTGGTGTTTAAAAGATAGATAACACATGTATAAATTTTACCTCTTTGTAAGACCTCAAAATACTGGAAATGATCAAAGTACTCAACTGTCAGCATAACTACAACCATTGCTATAAAATACATTTCTTTTTGTTATGTAGTACTAGGTATTTCACTAATATCAGTTTTATCTAAATAAAGTCAAAATATGATATATGAAAAACCCAAGGACCACTCTTAACAGGTGAAAATTAGAGCAAACTAAGTTATTTACCATTATCATTAAAAGAGATATTCCATATCTAGCTATATTTGCTGGATGAATCCACTTAAAATTCTGAGAATCCTCCCAAATTATATGGAACTTTTATTAGAGTTTATATGATGTGTGTGTTTGGAGGAGAGTCCATAATTTTGGTTTGATTCTTTAAGGCATCTGTAGTTAAAAAAAAGAAGAAGAAGAAGAAGAAGAAGAAGAAGAAGAAGAAGAAGAAGAAGAAGAAGAAGAAGAAGAAGAAGAAGAAAGGAAATCTGTTCTAATCAAACCCTATGCTGCTAAATCAATCAGCTTACTTTCTGAAAATCCTTGTCTTTCCAGGCCCTATGCTTGCAGGCTTTATCTTTCCAACCCCATTCTAAGCCCCTCATCCTGTAAGATCCTCCATAGCCCATTACCTGGTGTCCCAGCACTTGGGAGCTACTACCTATAATGTATCCTGTTTGTTTGACAGCCAACAGGTTCTGTCCCATGTTCTTCTTTATCTTTTTAATGTAGCCTGTTCCTGCCTTCTCAGGTCATAAGAACTATAAATTGTCAGTATAAAAACTATATTTTCAACTATTCCCAGTTAATAAATGTTTACCCTAAATATACTTAAATAAATGTTTAGTGCCCATCCTCTTGTTCATAAAGATTTCAAATAGAAAATAGAACAGCCAAGATTTGCATTAACTGATGTTTCTTGATAGTGTTGGGAACTTTTACAGAAAATATAAAATGAAAACGTAATCAGCTTAGTCTTCATCTAGGAAGAAAGTATTTGGCTTAATACTGATTTGGCAAGACTTGTCATGCTCATGGTTTCTTCATCTGTCAACAGTGGAAAGAACCATGTTAGATTTTCCTCAGCATGTGTCCTGTGACAAAGAAGTACGGGCAGCAAGTACAGAAGCAGACAAGAGACTTTCTCGTTTTGATATTGAGATGAGCATGAGAGAAGATATATTTCAGAAAATTGTTCATTTACAGGTAAGTGGTATTATGAATTCCTTTAAATAGGGAGTGGAGACCTACAACCCAAAAGTAAGAATCTGCGAGCTGGAGCAGCTGGAGCTCAGGGGCAGAATGCACAAGGCCCTGTGTTCTGTCCCCAGCACAAGGGTACCCTTTGACCTGGGATAAGTATTTGAATTTTCCTAGATTTGGTTTCTAATGTTTATAATGAATATGCATAGTATTATATAATGTATTATAATAATTACATTTACATGGAATTATGATTTCATTCACTTAAAATTAAAGACCAAGCTAGGGTGGTACATGCCAGTAGTGCATGCCAGTCATCCCAGCACTTAGTAAGCTGAGACAGGAAGATTGCCAAGAGTTTGAGACCAGCCTGGTCTACATAGTGAGTTCAAGGCTGCCCTGAACTGCTTAGTGAGACCATGTGTCAAAAAATAAATAAATAAATAAAAATCAAAGGAGTAATCAAAAGGCACATCTGTAATTCTGTATTTGACCATCATAAGCTATGAAGTTCAGAATTAAAAATCTCTGAATTTGGATGGTTTGTATTAGATCCGATTAATTAAAAACAAATGGAATCCAATTATCTATACATACCTTGGTTTCGGCTGTAATATTAATGACAAGACTTGATAATGTATGTGAGAGTCATGCTTGCTGATGTCAACCTTGTATTTCTTAATACTCACAAAAATTATGGATAATAAGTTTTCTGCATGGGTCAATTTTGAGTACTTTGATTTCTTAATCAACAATGTTGATTTGCTTCCCAGAATTTTCATAATGTCTTAGTTTTAAATTGTTATTGTCCTGATACCTTTACAATTTTTTGAAAAAGTGTTTCACTGTGCTAGGCACTTTTTATTATGCATATTACTTTTTGCAGAATTGCAAAAAACTTTAATTTGCAACTCTTGGGGCTGGGGATTTAGCTCAGCGGCATAAGCGCCTGCCTTGCAAGCAGGCAGTCGTGAGTTCATCCCTGGTACCAATAAAAGACAAAAAAAAAAAAAAAAAAAAAGAGCAAAACATCAATAGTAAGATGCAAGAGCAGCATAGTGGTCAGTAAGTGCTTGGCAGACACCATGCATACACTTTGTTAAATCCCTCAAGGGAAGGTCTGTATTGTTTCACTCTGTTTTGAACCTCTAGCAAAAGAACTGCTACAGAGTAAGCGTTTAGTAATTGTCTTAGTCAGTTTTCTCATCTCTTAGACAAAATATTGTCTATGCACAAGGAGAAGCTTATTTTGACTCATGATTTTTAAAACTTTGTCTGTGGTGAAAGGACCTGCACTGAGGCAAGTTTCTCAGGTCATGGAGCCTAGAAAACAGAGAAAGAAGGAAGGATCCTGGAAGAGAAATGTGTCCTCCTCCAGTGACCTGCCTCTTCTGGCCAGTGGCACCTTGCAGCAGCACACACAGCTGCTGAACTTAACAGTACGTGATTCCTCTGGTGCACAGTGTGCCGCATGGATCCAGTTACCTTCCTCAAGTCCTGCCTATGAGTGCTTGAAGCTTTTGTGGGTCTCCATGTAAACCATAACAATGTCCAATGAACTAACATGGGAAAGCAGTGGCAGGTTCATAAAATAGGCCGTCAGTAATTGGTGCTGAAACATAAGTTATCTATGTGGAAAAAAATTAAATATGATCTCTTCCTCACAACAGACTGAAAAAATAGTTCCCAATATCTGAAGGTCCTAAATTAATAGATTAAAATTTAAAGTTTCTAGAACTTTGTCTAGGATGGTATCTTTATATCATCTGGGCACAAGATATGTTTTTTATACAAGACACAAAAATGCTAATTATGAAGTATAAACTAATAAATTGACTACATTAAAATAACTGGTTCAGCCAGACATGATGACTCATGCCTATAATCTCAGCACTCAGGAAGCTGAGGCAAGAAGATTGCTATGCATTTGAAGCCAGCCTGGATTACAAAGTGAGCTCAAAGCCAGCCTGAACTGCATAGGAAGCCCTTGTCTCAAAAAGACTAAAATAAAGTAACTGATTCATAAAGTAAAAAGATAAATACTGAGAAAAGAAAATTACAAAACATTATAGTAGCAAAATAGTCTAGGATACACAGAAAACTAGTGTATCAGTAACAAAGGAACATCCCAGTAAAAAGATGGGCAGATGACTTGAAGAGATAATTCGGAAGAAACACAAATGGCAGTTAATCATATGGAAAGTTACCCTCATTAGTATTCAGAGAAATGCAAATGAAGGCCGCAGCAAGTTGCTGTTTTTCACATACAACACTGGCAAAAATTAAGAACTCTAGCAATGGCAGTTTTCTTTGTGAATATGGTTCAATGAAAGTGTTCATGTACTACGAGAATGTGATTAATTAAAAATAATAACAACTAAGGTGTATAAAGCAGATTTATAAAATCAACCCTAAATTCTCTACAATCCTGCATACCCTCTCTACCTCCAACTCCAATATTTACAATGATAGCAAACCTTTTAGAGCTTTCAATTGTACCAAACAGCTAGCTTCAGAAAGCATGCCATAAGTTTGCCTCCACTGTCCTAGAGGTATTTTTGTAGTTGTGCCCAAATGAAATTGGGTAAGTGTTCATTACAGTATTACAATTTAAAAATTGACTATTTCAACCAGCTTTTTATTAGCAAGAAAAAAAATCAATCACAAGTGATACATTTATACAACTGAATATTTTAAAGCATTGAAATAAATATGGCAACTGTGAAACTATATGGCTCAATCTTAGTAAAAATGAGAAAAAAATTGCAGAGTGCTGCATACAACATTATCATTTTATAAAGCTCAAAAAGAAACAGATATACATCAGTAATAGAACTAGAAAAATGTGTCTCATAAAATTCAAGAGTTTTTTTTTGCATTAGTTGCCTGTTACATTGGTAAATGTAATTGTGTTAATGTTCTGTTTTATAAATAAAGGATGGATTTAATTTGTCCTTATAACTCACATGTATATAATTATATTCATTTGTACATATCAAGTATTACATAAAAATTTATTAAATCTATTCTTAATTCTACCAAAAACATAACTTCTTCATCCTGTTAAAGAATGACCAAATGTCAAAAGATGTCAATTATGCAGCAGGTCTTGGTATTTCCCATTTTTTATACAATCTTCTCAACCATTAACCAAAATCCAGCAAAAATCAGTTGCATAGATATTCTTTCAAGCTGCATTGTGAGGAAAATGTACAATGTTTTCATGATAAAACAGTTTAACCATATTTCATCATTGTCACTTACTAAATAATAGATGCACAATAAGAATTCTTTGATAAAACAGAGGCTGAACTGTTGAAACTATATTTGTGAAATGAAGTGACCAGTTATAATATTGTATATATGTTTTCAGAGCCACAGACTTTGGCTTTACCAGTTTATTTTAGGCAATTCAGAATTTAAAAGGGAAAATTTTAATGTTACAAGGCTGATGAGTAAGTCATGGAAGAAAGTACAGATTTTTTTTTTTGCGGTGCCAAAAATTGAACCCAGAGCCTCATTCAAGGTAAGCACAGGCCCTACCACTGAGGTACAGCCCCAGCCCAAGTACAGATGCTTTTAAGTATATATGCTTTCTCCTTCCCTACCGCCCATGGAGAGCCAGTGCCCTAAACCATGACCGTGTAGGGTGTGGTGATGTACCTTCTGAGAGCCTGAGGCACAGGACAAGTCTAAGTTTGAACTCAAACTGAGCAAATTATTGAGATACTGTCACAAAATAAAAGTGGAGAGGCCCCACCCCTCACCTGAAGTGCCTTTGTGGACCTGAAGGAGCCTCAATGACCCATTCCCCCACCCGCAATTCCTCAGCAGGCCAGCAGGAGCATCAGTAACCCCTCTCCCCCACCCCGCAGTACCTTGGCAGATCAGGGGGAGTGTTGACAACCCTTCCCCACATCTGGAGGACCTCAGCAGATAGGTGAGAGCTATGGATAAGTCCTTCCCCCATCCAGATGAACCTTGGCAGGCCAATGAGAGCACAGATGAGATCCCCACACAAAGGACCCCAGGTGGGGCAGCAAGAATGCCAAAGAAGCCTCCCCCTATCCAGAGAAAGCTGGCTGGGTCTGCAAAACCCCCAGTGACATAGTAAGGCCCCAGTTGGGGCACACACCATGGACAGGTGGGTCTAGCAGTCTGGAAAAGTCTGAAGCTACAGTAACAATATGAACTAAGGGTTGGTTCACATCAATCCTCAAAGGCTAGTCAGCCCAAGAAGAATCCAGGACTTACCCAACTGGCCCCACAAGAGGAATTCTGGTGACTGACCACTCCTGTATACTGTGAGACCTGGCAACTGGGTGAGCAACAGCTACATAGTAGGAAGCTAAGGCACATACTTTGTATGGATGACACTAGTGGAATTGAAAAGACTGAAATATCAACCAGGAGGTAAAAATGACAAAACAAAAAAGCAAAATGTAATCTCAAACCCCAGCCCATCTGGAACAAGTACAGGAGACATCGACATAGGAGACACTGGAAGGTGCATATCTAAAATTTCCGAAAAACAATAGCAAGTAAAGTAAAAAACCAGATCCACAAGGCTATACAGGAAATCAGATCAGAAATAATCTCAGGAAAAAAAAGAGGTGACAACCTTAATGAAGGAATTGTTCAGCATAGCTAGAGAAGACATAGATTAAAAAATGTAGGATCATAGGAAAATGATGGAAACCATGCATGAAAAATATAGAAAAGAAATTGAATGAATGAGTCAAAGGAATATCTAGGAAATTGAAAATCCCATTGAAAGCTGGCAAGACTGCTTGAGTGAAAACTGAAGGTAGACTTTCAGACCTTGAGGACAGGATCATGGCTAGCAATCACAAAGGAAAGATCTTTTAAAAATAACAAGGAACCACCAAATAACAGTTTCAACATCTCCAAGACAATGCAAAGAAAAACACTGTAAGACTGACGGTGACAATGAAAATGCAGGAGCCAACGCAAATTACATTAAAAAAAATATTTGCAGAAGG